ACTTCCATGCAAATACATTTGTGTATTCACACTCCTTCATATGGCACACGTATATAGTGCAGAGATCACACCACATGTCACCGGACTGCCTTATAAGTGGGTTTTCACACTTGCTGTGTCACTCTCGCATTTCTGCTGACTCCTCAGATTCCGTCTGGCATCCTGCGACTGAAGTCCGCGCGGCTGATGCATAAGCAGGCATGCTTTGCATGTTGATGTGCTGGTGTGGGGGGTGAATGGGTTTAAAAAAAGAAAAAGCCCCAGCCTCCGTCTGTGCATGCTGCTCGGGCCGAGAGAACAATACTCCCATCACAGGAGGACAGATTGTGTGGCAGCTGCATTGTTGAAGGACGGCACGCCAGACACACTTCTTCCCCCCCGACACACACACAAACTCACTCTCGCTCTCTTCCCCTTTGTGCCTCTTTTGGTTTTTTTTCTGTTTTTTCTTTTTTTTTTTTTGCTGGACTGAATTATTCCGGCTCTCTTGTGGCATTCAGGATGACAAACAGCGGCGGTGCAGCTTAGACGTCGGGGGTCGGGACATTAAGAGGCCCCTGCTTTCCGGTGCTTTAGTGTGCGATCTGAGAAATTCTTCTTTAAACTATAACCATAAATAGGAGCGCATACAGAGTGCAGAAGTAGCTCTTTTGAAGTGATTTGCAAACAACTGGTGAAAAAATGTATCTTTTGAAATAAATGTTCAGTCTTGTATGAGGAGCAGCTTCATGAAGTGAACTGAAGTCTTCCAATGCTACCACAGTATTTGTTCACCTTGTGTCAGCACATTAAAAAAAAATCAATCAGCATTATTTGTCCAGAGCAGCATAACAGAGTATTTTTCTTTCACAGAAATCTTTTTTTTTTTTTTTTTTGACATCGTACTTTGAAGAACAACATTTGAAGAAGATGCACCAAACTTGTAAATAACATTCCCGTTCACTTCTCACAGATCTCAGGGCAGTTTCATGCACTGGAAGTACCCTCCGTGGGTATTTCCACAGATAAACAACCTTACATGCAAACACACAGTTGTTGGTATTTGTTTGTGATGTGAACCGTTGTCACTAAAAACTGAAGCAGGCCCACTCTGTCCACATCATACCAGTTACAGGTGGGGTGTTGAGGCAAGTCATCATATGACTGGTTTTCAACTGTCACTTCCTTTTTCTATGCCTCTGTTTGAAGATAAATTTTTTTGTACCTTTGAGGTACCCTCAAAGGAGGATCTTGGCTCTGTCTGTTTTTTTATGCATGAAGCCAACAAGACTAAACTAGGTTAACGGGTAATTTGTATACAATGCTTTTTCTTGCTTTCCTTCATATATATTCTGCTAGAACAGTGGATGTTCATGTTCAATATGAACCAAACATGAGGCTTCACGCTCTGATTCACAGAATTTTTATCTACTCTTGGATCTGTATGTCAGTGAGAGTGGATATTATATGAAATAGTCATCTCTGGCAATCAGCTTGGGCTGAAGAAGCCCCACCCACCTGGTGTACAAACCTGCTGTTTATGAAGGGCAGGAACTAGGCCGAGCGTAAATAGTTGATTTTATTTTTCTTGGCTGGTTCAGTTGTACAATTTTTGTGATCTGCTGATACAAACAAACAGCATTTTTTAATGTAAAATATTAAACTTCACTGGATATAACTTATTTCCCCCCAAACTTGAGTAAGTTAGAGGATATTTTTCTTGCTTAAATATCTAAAAACTACATGCTATGTGCAAAAATGAAAGAGTTGCTTTAAACCACCTTTATCCAACATATTTTACCTTACCAAACGAAAGCTGGTGCAGCAGATTTACTTAAGAAAACTAATGTCAGGTGCTTACACTATTTTTCAGTATCTTTATATATTTATAACTTTTCTCTTTTTCACTCATCTCCATAATGTTTCCCTTGCCTCCGTTGCTCATACCGAGGCTGCTAGCAGCTAGCTGGTGGCTTGCTCTGAGCGCTGGACAGCTTTATTTCTTTTTTTTTTTTCTTTTTTTTTCTCAAATGTTCATGTTTAGCTGTGTGAGGGTGATGTAAGTGTGATTTAAGAATATTAAATATCCAGCACTATCAAATAAAGGTACTATTTTGAACTTTAAAATATGCCAGGCTTATTTAGTATGCTAAATAAAAATATGGAACCAGATATATAGTATTTCTCCCCACACCCTCTAGCAGATCATTACATGAAGGAACCTTTTAAAAACAAGCGCGTCCATGCTCACAGGTGCACACACGGGTGCTCACACACACAAACTACACCCTTTTTGGCTCCTACCTCAAAGCACACTGTGCGCTGTCGATCTTACGTGCTGCACAATAATGTTTAATATTTAGTATTTACTGTTATATTCCCATATATCATCGTGATGTTGTTTATTGTATTGCTCTCGTTTTCTTCTGCTTGTTTTCTTTTTTTCTTTCTCAACAGGTGATCCAGGTGATTGATATATGTATTTTTTTTGTCTGCTTATTTAGTTGATTTTTGTTTTTTTGCCCTTTATCCCCATCCCTCTTCTCCGTTGTTTTTCCCCCTCTTCCTTTCTCCCCTTTCTTTTCCTCATTCAAGTCTGTCCCATATCTAGCAAGTGAAAATAAAAAATAAATAAAATAAACAATAAAAGGTGAATCAAATGGACCATTACGGCTGGGATGGTCAATTTGGTAAAGTAAATCCGTTGGGCATCTTTCTTTGCCTTTAGACAATAATTCTGATGGCAAAGGAACCAAACGGGACAGGCAAAAAAAAAAGACATAGTATTTCTGAGGAAATGAGCAACATTTAAAGTCAACTCAAAATGAGGTTATAGCTACCAAAAGCATCGGTAATTTAGTGGATGTTTTGTGTGAATACACTGGAAGTAAACAAAGACATTTAATTTCTTTTTTTAAAGTGGTCACTGAACAATTTACAGATCACTCTTTGTTTCAGCCAGTCTGTGCACCCCCACACAACCAGCAGGCCACACTCAGAGGCTCTGAGCAGCATTAGGGGTTTCTCTCATTTGCTACCACAGATGGAACTGAGAAACATTCAGGAAGGCCACATAAACACAAACACTGACTGCAGTGTTAGCTGGTGTATCACTGACTGAATTTCATAAACATTACTTAAGATTTTATGTTGTGGATTTAAATAGAAGTGCAGCTTTATGTAATGTAGTTTGTGTCCAACTGTGAGGATTTCTTCTGGGCTTTCGGTGATCAGTAAACTAACTGGAAAACATAAAACATGTACTGTGTTTGTGTTAATGGGCAGTTTGTAATTTTTCTTTGTCATGGTAGCTCACACAGCTGTAACAGTAATGTTTGTTTGTGTCAGAAAGAGCCCTCTTTTTATGATTTTGATAGGACGCCCCACCTCGATAGTGGCCGGAGATTTGAAATAAGTGGAAAATGTGTTTTTTGACTCATGTCACGGCCAGCACCTCCTGCCTCTTAACATTAGCTTTGTCCAGTCAAAATGGATTTAATTGATCATACATATATCCATGGCTTTTTTCATAAATTATTCTTAATTATAGTTAATCTCCTGTTGGCTGCTCATGTTTGTAAATTTTGGCTGTACCTTTTCTTGCTGCACGTTTAGATTCTGAATGTGCAAAATGTGCCAAGCAGTTAAAAATGCGTTTGATTCTGTATGACAGCTTATTCTTACCTTTACTCTGAGGACACAGATGTGCCAAACAGGGCTGCTAACAATAAAATCATGTTTGTAGTGGGTTTTCTCACTTACTCAGTGAGACAGAAAAGTTAACGCACTCTGTTGAGTTATCACACAAAACGTGTCCGATGACTTGCCACAAACTTTGCAGATCTTTGTAATTACTGTAACGTCACGTCGTCACGTTCATTTCGGTTTCCATTAGTGAATGCAATCACTAAACGCATATGAATGAATTTTGCTCATATTTGTTTTGAAATGATGTATCAAGAAGAAGCGCTTTTCTATGTTTGAGTATGAAGTCACCACAATATGAGGAGACAAACAATGTCAATCCCATTTTAGAAGTTACAGCTAGTGCATGCATTGATTAGGTAAGCGGAGAATCTGCCTGTTGGCCAAAAAGGCTTTTATTTTATTTTATTTATATTACTGGTGTGAAGCAGCAATGAAGTGTTTCATATGGCAAGATCATTGGCCTATTTCTCACTGAGCTGTTGTTTCAAAATGTAAAGTAATGTATTTCACAAAATAAAATGCATATGTCAATAAGAATAAGAATGCCTGCATATGACAGAGTCAAGTTTTGTACTCTGTACATATAAAATGAGGTGCTTTAAATCATAAAGTATCAAACTGAAGAATTAAAAATGCCTTAAGCAGAGGGCTGGATATGATTCAACAGTGTTTCTGACAGTGCTGCTGTTCTTTAGCAGATGAAAATTGCCCGTGCTGCACAGTTATTACGTCTGTGCTGGCTTCCCCTCATTTGCTCGGTACTCGGGTGTTTAGCGTTTTGTCCCCGAGCTGTTTTTTTGTTTGACAACACAACTCATCACTGTTAAAATGCAAATCAGTAGAAGTTGGTAAAGATAGTTTTAAGCATCGTAACCATCAGCAGCTTTTCATTTGAATCTTGCAGTCAGAACTTAATATGCAAATTAGCTATTGGAGCAGACAGACTCTGTCAAGACGCATCCCAGGGCAGAGGAGGTGTTGCTGCTTTGGGCCCTGCGTTTTTTTTTCCTTTTGATGAAGAAGAGGCGTGCTTGAGATGGGAGGAAGAAGCAGAATAAAATACCCTTACAGCTGCTGGGGAGAATTTTTATTATCATTGGGCCATACTTTAGATAAACAGATTTTTTGGTTTTTAATGTTTATGACATTTCAATTGTTTTTTATGTAGAAGTTAATGGAGTACTGACCACGAGTGTTTCTGTATTTGAACATAAATGCAGTGTAGTGCCCTGTGTCCTCATGTGATGGTATCACATGACAAGTGAGTATATACTGAGAATTTAACCAGTTCCTTTTTATGTTTTAATTCCCAGGTACCCTCACAGGACTAGTTAGTAAGTGAGTTAAGTATCAGTAGTAACAGTGGGGTCAGTCAGGTGTTTGGGAGGTCACGGAGGTAGTGGAGCTGGATGTATGAGAAGGATTCATGGGCCTGAAGGACCATCTGGAGGATGGGACAGGCCACATCCTCAGCCCAGGGCTGGATCTGGACTACCTACACGTGGAAGGTGCTGAACGGCAGGCTGGGAATTTAGGAGCGGGTGTCACTGTTAAAAGCAGCAATACTGCTGGTAGCAGAGGCATTAGCTCTATCATTCATTCAAGCAGCAGTAGCAGTTGCAGTAACTTTTCTGAAGAGAGTGCTATCTCTGACAGTGAAGATGAAAGGCTCCAGACCGGGTCTGGTTCTGACTCTAAAACACCGCACCACGATCAGCTTCACCTACACCAAAGGGAGGAGTCCTCAGTCTTTCAGCCAGTCAGGCTGGACCTGGCACCAAATACATCTCCTGGAGACCCCCCGGAAACATCTCTGACTGACCCCATCACACACTGCCGCACGAAGGTGGAGTTCGCTCTCAAACTAGGCTACCCCGAAGAGCTAGTGTTGCTGGTCCTGAGGAAACTAGGCCCTGACGCACTTATCAATGATATACTGGGAGAGCTGGTTAAACTGGGAACCAAAATAGAGATGGATCAGCAAGGAGGTCAAGCTGTCTCACAGTCTCCCTCGTCCTCTTTGTCCTCCACCTCCAACTCCTCTCTGGATTCTTCTCGGCTACTGTGCCGGTCCCACCTGCTAGAAGACAAAGAAAACCTGCGACCTGTTGTTGTGGATGGAAGCAATGTAGCCATGAGGTGAGGAGGAGAAGCTTTGGAATATACTAGGGTTTTGTTCTGCTTTCATGTATCTACCTCTTTACCTCACAAAGAGTGTAGCTTTATTACTTTATATTAGCTATTATCTGGCTTAAGAGCCTAACATATATAGCTACGCTGAAAGCCATATAACACACATTTAGAGAAATGCTTATTTGTTGAAAACATGCATTGTTTAGTTTTCTGAATTTTTGTAAATCCAGTTTTTACCAAAACCATTTAAGAAGATATCAGTTTAAAACTATTAATGTTAGTTACATGTTACATACTATACATGCTGAGACAAGCAGCAAGACTCCGGCATGCAATAGAGGAGACATCGGTGAAAACAGGTGTAAGATTGATTTAATCAGATTTACTAAGAAACGAGTTGGAATACAGATGGGTTGCAAAGTGGCTTGCAGTGCTTTATATTGCCAATTCGATGCATAGAAGGGTATCAGCTAATTCTAGCTGAGATTGAGATTGTGGCCTGTGTGAACTAATGCTATGCCTTTGTAGTTTGTATCACTGGTTTGTAATTAGTGACACAAAGTGAAACAATTGTTCATTGTGGGAAGATGTAATACGATTATGTAATTTTTGTTTTTGCTAAATTGTTTTTCAAAGTCTCAGCAGTCAGGGAAGACAACTATTTAAAAAAACAGTTCTTTCTCTGAGGGTTGGATTTACAACCTTAAACCTCAGATGGTTACAATCATTAGTAAAATGCAAAAACACATCTTTATCAACAATATTAACCTGAGGATACTCTACATTCAGATGCCTAATTCAAGAGTTTGACTTCTAAGCTTTTTTTGTGTTACTTGATTATAATTCAAAAAACATGAAAAACCTGCCGTACTGACAGTATGACTATGACAAGCAAACAGGCAAAGTTTAATCTTAGCTGTGTGGCTGATGCTTGCCTTCTGTTTGTGTAGTCATGGGAACAAGGAAGTTTTTTCCTGCCAAGGTATCAAGTTAGCAGTTGATTGGTTCTTGGAGCGAGGCCACCGTGACATCACAGTGTTTGTCCCTGCTTGGAGAAAGGAGCAGTCGCGACCTGATGCTCTTATCACAGGTAAAAATTACAGTCGTTGTCACAGTTGAAAGTCCCAGAATAACAACAGTGTGAAGGATGTGATTTAATATCCTGCTCTTGGAAGCATTTCCTATTATCCATTAACTCTAGTCTTTCTCTCTATATTTAACTATTGCACCTCTCTTTGTTCAGACCAAGAGATCCTGCGGCGTCTGGAGAAAGAAAAGATCTTGGTTTTCACTCCATCACGACGCGTTCAGGGACGTCGTGTGGTTTGCTACGATGACAGATTCATCGTCAAACTGGCCTACGAGTCAGATGGTATAATTGTTTCAAACGACAACTACCGTGACTTAGCAAATGAGAAGCCAGAGTGGAAGAAATTTATAGATGAGCGCCTGCTGATGTACTCGTTTGTAAATGACAAGTAAGCATATCGCACCAGCACAAGAAGCAAATCTGTTGGATTTCCTTTTAACGTCATTGTTTCCCTGCACCTTTGAACATACTAAATAACATGCTGTCTTTGTGTTACTCTAACCAATTTGTTGTTAAAAAAACGGGAGAATTTCAACTTATGCCTGTGTTTGAAAGAACTCAATATTTGCATCTAATTTCAGTCTGTTAACTGTATATTTAGATTCATGCCACCTGATGACCCGCTGGGACGCCATGGACCTAGTCTTGAGAATTTCTTGAGAAAGAGGCCTGTTATTCCTGAACATAGAAAGCAGCCATGTCCTTATGGTAATAAAAAAAATGTTTAGTTATGTTTCTTATCAAATGCATGCTTATCAGCTATGCTGCAGAAGATGTCTGCTCTTGCATAGTGGAATTAGATAAAAAATTGTACGAGAATAAATGCTTTTTATTCCAGTACAATGACAAAAAAACTTCATATTTTTTCTTCCATTAGGAAAAAAGTGCACATATGGCCACAAGTGCAAGTTTTATCACCCTGAAAGGGGTAGTCAGCCCCAGCGAGCTGTGGCAGATGAACTCCGTGCCAGTGCCAAAATTTCATCAGTAGCTTCAAGAGGCCTGCTGGAACATGCCCTGATGGCGAAGAGCCAAAAAAATGGTCAATCAGAAGGAATGGCTGAGGCCCCGCTGATTCGGGATACCGGAAAGAAACAGCCAAATCGGAGCCTTCAGAGCTCCTTCAGTGAGCTCTCAGAGGACAAAACTCAGGTCAGTTCCAAAGTGGAGGAACAGAGGAGAAACAGCAGTCTTAGTGGCAGCTGTAGCAATAACATTGTAGCACATCCTGCTCCAGGGGGACCGCCTTCATCGGGACATCTGGAAAGATGGGAACACCCTGCTGGAAGTACTGGATGCAGCTCCGGTATTGCCGGGGCTTCAGGACCAAACAAAGCTGAATCTTATTACAGATGCAGTTCTCCAGTGGTGGGCTACAACTCTGTGGTAAAGGCTTATTCGGGACTCAGTCTTGTAGTGCCACAGACTCCTGAATGCTTCTTTCCAGGTGAGCTCGGCACAAGTTCACTGGCTTCAGATTGTAGCAGTGAAAGCAGTGTCAGCTCAGATTCTTTCTCTCCTGACCCCGTGTTAGATGATAGCCCCAAGTGCCATCACCATCATCCCCACCACCACCACCATCATCATCACTACTCTGGCCAGTACCCTCACCAGGCAAGCCGTGTTTCTCCTAGTCTGAGCCAGCATTCTCCTCGTGGCTATGTCCATCCTCAAGGACTTTGGAGACAACGTGATTTTGGCATAGAAGATACTCCAGCATCTGGCGCCTCTCGCATTTCGCCACATCACGTCAACACTGCTTCTGTCTACATCCAACCCCAGCAACAGCTTCAGCTGCTCGCCAATTTTCCAGGGGAACCACCTCATCCACAACATCCACCCCAAACACCCACTACTCATGCCCGGTCTCAGAGCTTCCCTCGAGGCCACAATATGGTGGGCTCCCTTTGGCCGGAACATGGGCTTCAGGACAGAGTGTGTGAAGGCTCACCAGTTCATTCTAGAAGAAACTACTCTGTGCGAACCCAACAACCTCAGCACCAGCAGAACTGGGACCCTAATTATGAGCCACCCCCTAAGCCTTACTATGATCTGTTTTCCTATAAGAGTTTTCCACAAGTCCATGGACACTCTCCTTGGGGCCAGCAAGTTCATTCATCACCACATGGCCTTTTAATACCAGGTCTTCCATCGCTTTCACAGCAGTCTCTTCCATCTGTCCCTACCCACAAGAGCCACATGCCCTCAGCAACCCAGCACGCAAAGCCAACTGCCTTGGGTCGATACCAGGACCTTAGGGAGAGGGTGTTTGTTAACTTGTGCGGCATCTTCCCTCCAGATTTGGTGAGGATGGTAATGACCAGGAACCCACATGTGACGGATGCTCAGGAGCTTGCAGCTGCCATTTTAATGGAGAAGTCACAGCACAGCTCTTGAATAAACACAGTGAAGTTTTCATCTTAACTAAACTCGTATTTGCGGGGATATCCTCTGTAAGCTTAATAAAAAAAGTCAAGTTGGGCATACAGAAACCAAAATCACAAGATACGAGACTCCTTCAGCTGTTAACACGCTGCCTTTTTAATGCTATTATTATACAGAGAAATACCAAAATTGCCATACTTTTTTTCTAGAAATATGCCTGCTACTTCTGAACGTAACATAGGAAAAGGTAGGGGTGCATCTGCATGTTTCATCTTTTTTGGTTATGAGTCAAAACAGCACTGTATTTAGGGAAGCTTTTAAGGTGTTTCAAGGGTGGCAGTATTGTTGATTTTAAACTTATTTATTTGTTACATTTAAGTTATTTATATAATTTTAAAATTATTTTCGTTTTATTGCACTTTTTGTTATTTTTTTTTTCTTCAGATCATTTCTTTTGGCAATCATATCAGGGTATAATTATAGCCGTTTGCGCTGTTTCTCTGTTTCTAATTTTTTTAGTCACTGAGATGACAACATTGGGTATGTAGCTCTAACATTTTCAGCATTAACGTGGCACGCACGTATTTGCCACATTGCAAATACAGCCCGACCATAGTTGACGCTCAAGTAAGCCCAACAAACGGCTTTCTTTCTGTGCTGACAGGTGGCAGATCAGTTGTTGCGAGATTTTGTGGATTTCCCCCAACAAGGAAGTGAAACTTAACCAGCACCCACAAAAGAAGATAGCAAAAACTCCACTTGAAAACCCCAAGCTCTTGTTCACTTTTGAATGAGAGTTATTTCCTCTGTTAGGATAGCCCTGTCAGCTGACTTCACGGTTCATCACGCGCTGTTCCTTTCCATCGCTAAACAATATCAGTGTGCTAAATCAGGTTCAAAGTGTGGCAACTGGAAATGTTTATGGGGAACAGATTGTTGGTATTGTTTTAATTTAAATTATGTGTTAATTTATTATACTTAATGTTTGTGAATGTGAGACACGGGGTATCGTTTATCAGTGGTGGAGGGTTTATCTGCCTCTAATGCTTTGCATACAGTTGTGTTAACTGCACAGATCCACAGTTTTTTGTTTTTTTTTTAGTTTATGAGACATTGAATAAAAAAACAAAACAGGCACCGGGTGAGAATCATAACCTTAAAATCACTACATCACCACTGAACTACATTTTGGACCATGGTAGTTTTTTACTTTGCAGGGTTTTTTTCTCAGGAGATATTCATGTTTGGTTTCAAAGTCTGTGGTTCTGTTAAAAAAAGACAATAAAAATAGTTTTTAATAACTTCAACTGATCCTGACCATCACAGACCTCCTTAAATGCCAGCAGGGCTCGTATAGGTTTCCAGTTATCCTTACTTTTTTAACCATATTTGTTTTTATTTATATATTTATATTCATAATAATTTTGCAGTGCCCAAGGTGACTTCTGTGAATTGCCTGTTTTCTCCCAAAAATCGAGGGGCGGGGGGGATTTAAAATATATTTTTAGTGTTTTAAAATTATTTTTAAGTTGTGTCTCCTTAATGCAGCTTGCTTGGAGCTGTGTTTTTGAATGAAATTATGATAATTTATTTTTACTATCTCTGCCAGTGAGGTTATTTTTATTACCCGAGGAACTGTTTGGAAAGCTAACTCTCTCGCCTGGTTAGCTTAATTTCAAGTAGCCCGATGACACCTCTCTTAGTTGATACAAATTGTATCCTATATGGTGAAAATAAACATTGTTTTATATGAAAATGTGAGAACAAGTTTTCAGTTGAATATTTTTATGTGGCAAAATATGTCGCCCGTGATAGTTCGGCTTTTATGTAAGGGGGATTCTTGTTCCCTGTTTCCGGGTGCAGTAAAGTCTCAAGTGCACTTTTTGGATATAGTTGTGTGTATTTGTCGGTGAACGGAAAGCAAGGTGGAGTCTAGCTCAGAAATGGTGAAACCTCTAACACTGGTTAGCTAGAGGCTAAGTGGGCACACGCTCATAAAACAGTAAAAGTGATCAGGGTTAAAAGTTTTATAACAGAAAGAGCTTGTTAAAGTTGTTTTCTGATGTGATTGGCTGTTATTAAAGTTTCCTGGCATCACACTCCATGGGAGCAGCAAACGCTGTAGCTAGCTTGAATGTTCCAAATGTTTCTTAAACACTTTCCATAAAATGTATTTCTTTATTTCTGTGGAGCTTTCTAACATCAAAAAACTTTATTCTCAAACCCTGGAGAGTTGTATGCAAGGCATGAACAAATGTGAGTAACAGTCTGTCAGGTTTTTGTTTTGTTTTTTACACATTTTTTCTCTTATCATTAGCCTACATTGTTATCCGCTATGATGCTAAAGGCTAAGTCTGTGGTAACCCTGCTAGTCTGGCACTATGTGCTAGTGTTTGCTAAATGGGTTAAGACACCCTACAGTATAATTTAACAAACTTCTAAAGTTATTGTGTTTACATTCTGATAAATATTAACAACTTTATTCAGTGTACAAATACATATTTTTCTATTATTACAAACGTTTTAAAAAGGTATTTTTCTAAATGTGTGTATTATTTTTCTCAAAAAAAAAAATCCCTAGAAAGTGTGTGTTAAATCATGTCCTGACATCATGCTGTGAATGGATTTCTTCATAGCTGTTGCTTGAAAAAGTGAATTCCGACTGAACATGAAGCAAATTTCTGACTTGAATTATATACTTAAATTTAAGTATAGCTAATGTGCTGACTACACAGATGTAAATGTTCTTTAGCTAGCAACATACAGGCCACATTTGGAATGACTACAGTTAAATCTCTTCTTTTTTCCGTCTTATGGATATGTCCATTTAATATTCTGTCTCTTTAGCTAGCAGTGATCAAAAAGAAGAACCTGGCTCTCAAGAATCCTGGATTTAAATATGTTGGAGAATTCTGCAACAACTAAGATGGTTCATATCAGTTCATGGGGAAAAGATCTGAAATGATAGACAGTATCAGAGATGGACCTAGCCACCGTGACGTCAAGCATTGAGTAGCAAAACCCCATTGAAAAGCACAAGCGTTTTCTTGCACCATCTTAGTGTTTTGAATCTGGACTCGGCAACTAGCATATCCTGGATTATCATTACTGTAATAAAGTACTTTAAGCTGCCCTGTTATTTCTGAAAGGGTCATCTATATATGACAATCATGGAGACAATTTTACCATCAATTATAGCCATGATTAGTCCCAATTTTGGCTCTCTAGGGATGGTCACACAGTCCTTGGAACTGGTCTGCAACTTCTGGTTGTGTGGGAGCAATGAGTAGTCTTTGACCAGTTGGCAAGTAGCTTCTGAAGGAGGATGCAAATGGATTGCTAAAGCCAGGGCATAATAAATATTCCACCACCGGCTGGCAAAAACCTCCTTGCGACTGCTTTGGTTGCTAGCAGGTTGGTAGCAGTAAGCATGGAACACACCAACTTCGGTTGCAGTTTTTCTATGCCATAGGTGGTAGTTAGCATTTTCCCTGCAAACTACAGACGATGGTAGCAATCTGCTGACAACCAAAGCAATAATAGATTTGTATATGTGTAGTGAACTCAGATTTGCCTCCTGTTCAGTCTGAATGCGCTTTATTTGCATTTTGAATTTGCATGTGGGGTTTGTATTAACCGATGACGAGCAACTTGTCATTTGTTGCTCATTTGACTAAAATCATGATGTGTGTTTGTATTTTATTAGGTGTTTTATCAATAGAAAAAATGTAAAATGCCGACAGTCCCTGTTTAGCACATTTATTCACATGTTTATTTTTAGTGTGCTTTAATACAGCTTCATTTCTGCTACAGAAATAAGTAAGTGCCATCTCTTCAGGGACCACAGCCAAGGAAAAGGCTGTTTGTTGCTCATCTCTCGGGCTAGTGGTGCTTTTATTAAACCAAAATTAAAAAGGAAAAAAAAGTGTTAGACCATTGCTGCTGTTTCACTGTATATTCTGCTAGGGAATAAAGTGGTTCTTTCTATAATGTGATCCAGGATTATGGTGGTAAATCACAGTATTGATTCATACATAGAGTTAACAAATTAAAAGGAAAACCTAAAAGGAGGGGAGGAGGGAATTTCTGGGTTGCATTTGTCCCCTTGGAGGGAAGCGTCAGTTGTTCTGGGGCGTCATATTTATCCTGTGACAAAACATTTCAGTTCAGATGGCATTGATGAGTTGATCACCTGACTCCAACCCCACCTGCATGTTAAACAATGCTTCCCACCACCATCATCAAAACACTAAATGCGGGAATATCTGATAGAAGAATGAAACTATCCTTCCAGATGAGTGTCAGAGACGTGGAAAATTGACATTGAAGCCGTTTTGTTTGTATTTGGTGGACCAGCGCTGTATGTTGTCACTCATCACTATATTGATTAAGGTGATTAAAATTGTGCTTCACAACAACTTTTTTGATTTTTGGTTTAATGTACAGTACTTTCACTTTTTCGCCCCTGTATGAGTTTAACTTTTTATTCTATAAAACCACCATTCCAGAGTCGGTTTCACCAAACATTTGTTGTGCTCGATTAAGCTTTAGAGATTGAAACCCAAAACAAGAGCACATAAAACAAATGTGACATACCTACAGGATCAGGGAAAATGTGGCTGAATGAGACATGTTGACTGTTCTTGTGAGTGATGTAAAAGTGACCAATAAAAGCCTCACTTAAAGCTTTCACGTCCTGCCTGGTCTGTGTACATGCTGTATTTTGGTATAGTGTGATTTGAAATAAGAGTCTTTTAATTTTCCTTCATGAACATTTTTATTTGTATTAAATGTAATGTGCCTACACTGAACCACAGATGCCACAGAAACCTGCATGATCGCTTTTGGATGGACCTTATCACACCGATTTTAGAAGAGTTTTTCTTTTGGGTATTTTGGACACAGCAAGAGAAGTGACATCACTGCTCTACTGCAGTTGTGTTTACTTGCATCTCTCTTCCTGTTTTTTGACGATCTATCAGCTGTGGCAGGAAACAATGAAAAGTGCTGTGAAATGTTTCCA